GACCAGGAATGGATACCGTATGCAAAATATATGACAAATTGTTCAGAAGTAATAGTAAGAAGCAAACGTGAAAAATTGGGAGAGTCTTGATTTGCACTACAAAGACAGTCATGGAGGAGGAGTTAAAGAGAAACAAGGAGAACTGTTTTTTTTGTAAAATACCTACCCTATTAAGAAAATAAGAACCTGAAAAGCAGTAAGGAAGAGATGCTTTTTAAGTACAGCTCTATTTAACATGATCTTTGTCGATTTGGAGAAAGAGATGCAAAAAATGCAAGAAGGTTGAACAGTAATTAAAAAAAAAAAGCTGTAGGCAGGCGACACCTTACGCAGATAAGATTGTTCTAGAGAAATGATGAGATTTAAATTTTTTTTTGTAAAATTAGGACTAGAATTAAAAACGGAAAAACTGGAAATTATGGTAAATAACCAGAAAGTAAATAAGAATATTAATTTTGAATTGAATGAGAAAGAGATAGAAATAGTAGGATGTGAAATTGCTAATAATGAAAGCGACAAACCATAATAAACAATAACAAAGGCAAAATATTGGCTGAAAGAAACTTTTAATTCATCCGGAATATAATACTAATGTTTTTCGACACCTCAGTGGAAAAAATCGTACAATACAGAGCAGAAATGTAGGGTTAAAAAGAATATGAAAATATGACAAACAACCTTATTGACTCTCAAGAACGGAAAACAAAAACAAATAATTTGCAATGATCGAGGATTACCTACGTTATGGTATTTGGTAAGAAAAGATGGAAATAAAGAAAATAAAAGCTACAGATGAAGGCAAGATTTAGAGCCGGATATGAAGTAAAAATAAACCTCACACGACTAATAGAAGATAATAAGTGGTGCCACATGTGTAGAAAATATGCAGAAATATACAAGCACATCTTAGAGGAATGAGAGGAAACCGGAAAAAGTGAAATAATATGGTTTGTTCAAATGAATTAAAAGTAAAAAGAAAAGAAGAAGAAAGGATGTGGAAACCGGGAAAAGAAAAGAGAATGTGGCAGAACTGTAGATAACACACAACGGGTATTTATTTAATTTTGTTAAAGCGACTTACCTATACTTGATAATTTTTTTTTTTTTATTATCATACCTACCACTAAATCTTAAACAGGGTTCTAGGAGTATTATTACCTTTTATTCTTTTTCTTCCTTATGTATTTAAATTTTTAATTAATTTTATGTCTAACTTGGTTATTATTTTAGTTTTACTGATTTTTTCTTCTAAATATTTATCTATTCTATCTTATTGTATTTTCAGCAATTTTTGTGGATTATGCGTTGCTGATCATTGGATTTAATTTTTTTTTTCGGATTATTATTTTCGTTTCACGTTTGTGAATTGCAGTTGTATATGTATTTTTACTTTTATTAATACATTATAAAGATTACTATTCTTATTAACTCAGTGTGCTACCATGCTACGTATGTAAATGTAATTCACAGCGAAGGAATAATTCGAACTTAAAATGAAGTTCCACCAAAGTGTAATTCAGATTTATGGCTATTTAATTTAAAATTTCACAAACGCTAAGCTTCCTCTGAGGATGGTTTGAAACTCATTTCCAACGTAATAAGCACGTCGTAATACGTTCTAGAGCGGAAAGAGCAATCGGGCAGCATAATAGCACTTTCTACTCGTGTTTCTTCCTTCAATTCGGACAGATCGCGCAAATCCACTAAACTATTAGTTTTCGGTCATTTTTTCTTAAGAAAAAACTGAACATTAAAAGAATCAAATTAAACATCATCTCATAGCAATCATCAGCTTTATTAGCTGAATATGTACATGAGTGAATTAATACATACAATAAGTAAGAGAGAGAGGTATACAACTTTTTTTCTGTGTTGGCTAATGTATTGCTGAAATAGTGAACATGATTACTTTGGACACATAACCAATTGTTTTTAGGTGAGAGTGGCTTCTGTAAGAATACTGATTCTGGAACTTCTACAAAAAGAATTAAACTAAAAACAAATCCAAATTACCACTATAAATTGATTATGTGGACTAGCTATTTGCTTGCTGGAAATGATCTTTATTAGGTTCAAGAAGCGGGAAGTTGCTGACTTCCAAATTATCGAAAAAGGTTATTTAGTTCATAATTTTTTACAAAATTTCAAAAAAGAATAGAGACCACAGTTTGGTAGATAGGAACTGAACCAGTATTTTTAAATATGTATATCGATAAGTACCTATATCCGTCTAGGAATATGTCTGAAAGGGCTTTTTAGGATACTAAAAGGTATGTGTGTACTAAGTGGACTGTTAATTGGAATCTCCAGCGGAGTTGAATTTGGTGTAGTTCCACTTCATACTGTCCCATTTTGTACCGCGCAAGTATTCCACCTGTTCTATTTGCGTTTCGTATTACAGCCTATACCAATTATCAATATTCTCATTTCGTACTGCTAAAAATATACTTCAATAATTGTGAAAAAAAATAACTAATTAGATTGTTTTTTACTTTAAGAACTTGTGATACACTTGTTTATCTCTTGATACTTGTACTATAGTCACAAAATAATACATAACATAATCAGTGTATTTGAAAGAGTATATAGTGGGAACTTCAAAATAAAAATCTCTCTAAGTTACTTTATTGAACAACGTACAACAAGAAACATTTAACGCCCTCAAAAAGAAGAAGGGTATACAAAAATATTGATATTTCTATAAAACAAATAGTAATAGATTTCGTAAAAGAAAGGCACATGCTTAGAAAATTTACAATAGGTATGTTGTAAACTTTTATTAATTACTGCAAAAATTGTTTCATATACTTATATGGTTTTAAAGTTTATAAAGTAGTTTAATTTAATTTAACTAATTTGTATGTCTGATTATTTAAATTTTACGTATACAATTATATGATTTGTTATGGTCCTCTATTGCACGGGCAATGTTGTTTGAAATTAATTCCAAAATAGTATTCAGGAGTAATTTTTAAAAACAGTCATCGATTGTGTTTTCATCTGATTTAAGGTTCAGCGTACTGTTGGACACTTTCTCAAAGGTGTTTTGGTATAATTTCCAATCAGCTCTACTTAATTGACATTCAAAGAAGTTTTGTGATTAAAAAGCATTTAAGCCGATCGAATAGTCATCATGTCATATAGCTCTTCAAGTCAAACAGACTTCTGACTACCATTGATCTATTTGGTAAGCATAAAATATGAATGTAACATAATAATTCAATAGTAAAAGCTCGGGCGTCACTTTGCCAATGCAAAGAACCAAAGGAATTACTCTAGGAAAAGCTAGCCAGAGGACCCTACACTTAACCTTATTGAAGATGGAAGCCCGAAGCTCTCATATAAAAACAAATTAACAATTAGAAGGAATTAACTCAACTTACAAAGTTAGGATCTTCACAACCGGATTTTCAAGAACTCACATAACTGTTAGAAACTCATATCCTCTGGTAAAATCATCCTAAACTAAATAACCCTAAGGGGCTTACTAAAAGTAAATATTAAAAAAACAACCAATTATTGAGAACACAAAAATATTATTATTTAAAGAAATGATTTTCAGTAAAATTAAATTTATACAAAGACACAAAAATAATGAGTAGAGTAAGACAAAGACAATAGGTAAATTGAAAATTCATAAAGTATCTTGAAATTCAAAAGAGCTCATTGGGAGTAAATATTATGGGAAAACATTGGGATTGGTCAGGGGCTATAGTTTGTCAACAGAAAACCACTCAAAAATCAAATACACAAAATGCAACAGATATCTCCGATATGGCCATAAATAAAATGAAATGCTGAAGAATTAAAAATCAACAAGATTTTAACGACAAAATTACTATATTAAAAAGCGAAGAAGCAACTCAATAATACTCCAAACTTTTTACATTACATAACGATTAACTAAAGGTTTAATTAAAATTAAAAAAAGTCACAGTGTCTAAATACCTAATGTAACTCTTCAAAAATAATAATTATAAGAAAATACTTAATTTAAAAAATGAACTAATGACCAGTACGAAATTTAATTGCAGTAAATAATAAACCAGATTAAAACGGAGTAATTACTCAAAACAAAATGGAGACGCACGTGCAACATTCAAGTACAGTTGGTTTCGATGAAGGCAAGAGAAGAATCATTCTCCTCGAAACCTAGGTAGCAGAAAATCTTCTCCCTTCAGAAAAAAAAACTTTTGGGTGTTTCATTCCCACCAGCCACTAATACTGATCCAAGGACACCACAGAAAAACTTAGACCAAGGCAGACAAACCCGGAGTAGAACCGGTGTGCTCCCGAATGTTAAGCAATGGTCTAAACCTCTAGAGGCTATATATACAATAAGGATGAATCGATATTCATGGTGACACAAGAGTACCCAATCAGTGACCTAGAAACATGATACCAGGTCATATTTGGCATTCACAGAGCACAAGATTAAATGAACAGATACAACGGCAGTTACAACAATCATAAGGAAAACAATCAATGGGTCATAAGAAATTAATATGCGAAACGGTATTTTTCGGTAGGGAAAAATATGTTACAAAACTATATTAACTGTTAGAAAAATTGTATGCCTTTTTGAGAAGTTGAATGAATTAAAACGAGAAAGGAAACAAAATGGTAATGCAACGAGAAAAAGAATGTCAAAAACAGAAGTTACTTATGTTTAATCATGTAAATTAAATTAGTGCCGTGTAATAAAATTTTCAATAAGTACAAACAAAATTAGGCATTAAATATGTACACAGTTTATGCAAAGGTTACCCTTCGTCTTAATTTTTAGTTAGAGGATTAACAATAACCAAAACGTTCATTGAGACTCATTGTTTACTCGTTGAAATATATTATCTACGAAACGGTTTTGTTTGATGCAGTACTATTCGGAAAAATAAGATTCTAAAAGTTTTTGTGAGAATGAAAATGTGTATGTTCTACTTACTAGTTTTAAAAAAGATAAAGGAATTGTTATACAGATTTGATATGGAAACTTCCTGGATACGGATAAACGTGGATACAGAATAATTGGACTAATTTTGTTTGAAAATACAGAAAAAGTTTCCGCATATTTTTCAAATTATGTAGTTCAGTTCAGTCAAAAACGTTGGCGCGTCAAGAAATGAAGTCACGTTCTGATTTAATTTCCAACATTGGAATACTTCATGCAAAACTTTGTTATTACCTAAATTAGTTAGTTGAATACAGTTAATTTTATTACAAAATATAAAGAAATGATTTACACTTTGCAAACGGAACTGTTACCTTTAGATACCCTCATCAAAAATTGAAATTCGACCAATTCCAAAATTTGCATCACGCACCCATACTCTGACGATTTATTCGGAATATGTATTCCAGTGATCTATTTGACAATCAGTATGGTATCATCTGATTTGAATATTCATAGAAATTATGTTTCGTTCGTCGAAGCTACGATTCCAAGTAAATTGAGGATGAAATCAGATACATATTACGGTCCACTATCTGATGTTATTCGACATAACATGACAAATTGGTGTGAATCGAACCATCCAGCCGGTTTATGAGACCACATTCAAAGCTGGAAATATATTTAGTCACAATTATTGAATATTTTCGAAATTATGAAGTGGTTATAGCGTACTTATACTATAATGTTTTATTAAACAAAATGTTATTTTTACAACTAAAAACTTCACGATCTACATAAAAATGGCTTAGCTTACTGTTAAGTTATTGCTAAATCATGTATTTTCTGAGATCGACAATTGAACCATAATTGGCTAAAAGTTCTGATTCAGCGACTGAACATTAGTCAAGATAAGGGAGCAGGTGAAGGTTGTAACGCTTTCCTTCCTTACGGAAAATTCCGTTATTTTGCTTGTTTGCATTTCATTTCATAATACTGGTGATGTAGTTGCGGTCGAGGTTGTTCATTTGATATGACCATTTTGTGGATGGTCAGGTTTCATGGCTCTTGCTCGCTGATTGGTTGCTCTCGCGTCTGTTCTACCGTAATTTATATGTAAAAAATTACGTTATGCAAAAAGGAACAAAATAAATAGTAAAAGAACCAAAAGATAACTATAATAAAATTTACCTCGGGAGACTCAGGCAATGGTTCCTGGATTTACTTGATTAAAGAGAGCTCGATATTCTCTAACAGAAAAATAGGCAAATTATAAGCACCAAGTAAAAATTTATTTAACAACACAAGGGTCCAAAAAAATTTCCCTTCTTACTTACTGAGGAGATCGGTGGTTGGCTCCCGTCAGAGTCAAATAATGTCGTGGACCTTTCCGATGCAGACGATTGGCGACCTCTACACTGGCTCAATAAGAGTTCCTGACGGTGGTATGCTAACAAAACTTTCCCGGTGCAAATCAAATTGGTTTACTCTGTACACAGCCGTCTTTAATACAAGCCATGCTGAGAAATTTGGCAACATCGCATTGATTCGATGTGAGAGTCCTATTCTGCGAGTCTTACTTGCTATTACTACACGTCGTTACACATGATTTTTAGACACCCATTACGATAAAAATGAATTAAATTATTAAATAACTAACATTTATTTATCACTGATAGTAGGTATGTGACGTTATTTAAAATACACTTCAACATGTAGGTATTAAAAACAAGATAAAAAAAAATAGATTTGGTAAACATTGATAGGTACCTACATGAATTTCATCTCGATAATTGTAATTTTATTAAGGCAAATTTCCACACCACCATTGAGGTATTGCCACGGCCAGTTACCTTTTTTTTGGAATTCGCCAATAGCCCTGCCATCCCATTAGAAAAAATTAAATACAATTTGAACTTTTCTAATTTACGGATTTTTGCTGTCTTACAGTTAGCTGAATTTGAATTGGAGTGGCGGGACTCTTGCTTTCTATAATTTATAATTTTAACGTAATCATTAAGCAAAACATTAGCAAAAGAAGATAAAATTTGGAAGAATATATCTTTATAGTGTTTTCCAAAACTAAATATTTTTGAAAATAGTTAATTTTCCTAAAATTGATTTTTGGAGTTCAGCCCGTAAATATTGTGTCTGCAGATATTCGTTATTACTTATTTCTTCAAGAATGGCATAAAAGTGAAAAAAAAA